GGAGATCATACAAACTCCCCTGACTTTCTCTCACTCTGCAAAACAGGGGGAGATCATACAAACTCCCCTGACTCTCTCTCACTCTGCAGAACAGGGAGAGATCATACACACTCCATTCAATCTCGCATGCTGTAGAACAGGAGGAGATCATACAAACTCCACTCTCTCTCTCTCACTCTGTAGAACAGGGGGAGATCATACAAACTGCACTCACTCTCTCTCTCTCAATGCAGAACAGGTGGAGATCATACAAACTCCACTCACTCTCACTCTGCAGAACAGGGGGAGATCATACAAACTCCACTCACTCTCTCACTCACTCTGCAGAACAGGGGGAGATCATACAAACTCCACTCACTCTCACTCTGCAGAACAGGGGGAGATCATACAAACTCAACTCACTCACTCTCACTTTGTAGAACAGGAGATCATACAAACTCCACTCACTCACTCTCACTCTGCAGAACAGGAGATCATACAAAATCCACTCACTCTCACTGCAGAACAGGGGGAGATCATACAAACTCCACTCACTCTCTATCATGCTGCAGAACAGGGGGAGATCATAAAACTCCACTCACTCACTCTGCAGAACAGGGGGAGATCATACAAACTCTCCTGACTCTCTCTCTCACTCTGCAGAACAGGGGGAGATCATACAGACTCCACTCTCTTCACTCTGCAGAACAGGGGGAGATCATACAAACTCTACTCTCTCTCTCACTCTGCATAACAGGGGGAGATCATACAAATTCCACTCACGTCTCTCTCACTCTGCAGAACAGGGGGAGATCATACAAACTCGACACAGAAAGGTGCCCGAGTCGGGAATCAAACCCAGGCTCTTCTTGCTTCGAGGCACGAGTGCTGCCATTGCGGTACATATGAAGACAGCCACAGATATATAATTTATTACGAACTGAATTGGCGTATAAAGTTGTGTTGCTGTGAGGGATTTACCCAATAGAAGAGCGGCCAAAGACATCAAGGGCTTGCCAGAATCTTAAAGGCCTAACTCAGAACAAAGAGCAAACGCATTTTCCCCCGACAGTAACTCCTCGGATTCTTTTCTGATAAATACACACTGTCATGCTGGGATCAATCACGACTATCTTGAACCGGAGTTCGGTCTCCCCGAGGTCGACCAAGCCTTAACGTGAGTAGCATTCGCACTTGGGAGACAAAGGCGGCCGGGTGTGGCTCTGGCCACACCACTGCTTCGTGTTTCCATTCCGGCCTAAATAGGTGCTGCTCGCTAATAGCACTTGCCCCAATAGCCTGTTTGTCTACATGGGGGATCTTTGTCTGTGTGTGTGGAGAGCGCTATAGTCTAGTGGTCAGTGCGCTGCGCTTCGAACCCAACGACCTGAGTTCTATTCCCGCTTACGGCCACCAACAACAGTGAATATTATCTGAACCGGTCCTGGGCCTTCCCTAGGTCGACTCAGCCTCAAATAAGTCCCTGGTGCGGTGTGTAAACATCACCGCCGGAGAGACAAAGGCGGTCGAGCGTGGTGCGCTGGTCACCGACCCCCTCGTACATTGTGTCGACCTTCATAGGTGCTACTCGCTATAACAACACGTGCCCCAACAGTCTGTTAAGGCTCGACGGAGGATGTGTCTTTGCTGGACGGTACAGCTGGGGGTTCACGCTGTGCGCGCTCCGGTCTATGGGGGGTAGGTAACATCAGTATGTCGTGTGGTGGGAAGCCACACAGAGTCTCCCCGAGGTCGGGTTTAGCCTTAAAATGAGAAGCTGGTCGCAGTGTGGGAACACCAGCGCAAGGGGGCGGGGTGGGGGAGACAAAGGTGGACTGGCGGCACGACTCCCACGTGCGTTACCTTGGCACCTTAACAGGTGCTCGCCAACAGCACCTGCTCCTATTTGTGCTCTCTAAAAGGCTAAATGGGGAGTGGTGGGTGGGGGGTCAGGCACGACTCTTGCCAAGAAGCCTCAGTGGCACCAATATTCGTACTCTTAGGTTTTTTCGGTAAAGTCACGTAGGTAAAAAATGTAAATTAATAAAAGTAAAATAAAACAAATTAAAAAATTCACGACGTTTCGGAAGCAACACAAGCCTCCGTCTTCAGGTGGAACCGTCACAGCCACTTTTATTCATTTAAAATTTTTACCTACGTGACTTTACCGAACAAACCTAAGAGTATGACTCCTTGCAGTCACGAAAGCTTCAAATCTAGAACCAATATTCGTCTTCAATTTGTCTCCCCTGCGGAGGGGAGCGGTGGCGCAGTGTTTGGCGAACCGCATTACTGGCAGCTCTGGGAATGAAGCGGACCGTCTGCTTCATTTTGTTCATTATATTCTCCACAACGGCGCGAGTGTGGAACTAAACAATGTGTTATTTTACCAGGTAAGGCACACCGAGATACATAGAAAGCTCTTTTTAAATCCTTTATATTAAGTTCGCTTGCTTGCTTAGGACCGTGCAAACCTTTCGGTCGTTTTTTAACCCACTTCCCGTGATCCAATGGAGCTGACATTTTGCACACAGACTCGTCGTGCGTGACAATGCATTTTCGTGAAAATTTTTTTCCAAAATTTTACCCTGTTTAGGGAAAAATAAATAAATATCTCATTACGAATTGTTTAATGCTGCCAGACAATCATCTGACCCATAGGTGGCAGCCATCTCAAGCCAGAGGACGAGAGGACTCTAGCCGCCCCGATGCCACGCATATAAAGGATTTATAGTGAAAAACTTTGTTTTTACGGGTTTACTTGTTCAGAATGGACCTGGCCACACACGTAATAGCTCACCGAAGTGGCTTATCGTGTGGGCATTTATCGCAGCCGAATACTCGAAACCCTGCTGACCTGAGTTCGATTGCAGGTCACGGTTAACTTGGGAGTTCTACCTGAGTCGGTCCGAGCGTGACCCCTCCTCCTCCTCCTGTGCCACCTTCAACAGCCCGCACTGGTCCTGCTGATGAGATACTGAATGTTGGAACCGGTCCACGGTTAAATGATGCATTTCCTGACGTAGCTAATGGTGGGGGGCGGGCGGGGGGGGGTGTAAACACACGTTTGTTTCGATTTAAAGCTTTCGTGACTGCAGCGATTCATATTCTTGGTTCTTTCGGTAAAGTCACGTACCGAAAGAACCAAGGACACGTTTGTTTGTTTGTGTGTAGAGACAGCTTTGGGCGTGAATAATTCTGCACCTCCGATTAGGACGGTTGGCTACGTATGTTGTGAAATTAGTTCAGCAAACACAGTCTGCCTGTTTATTTTGTTAATTGCATTCTCCGCAAAGACGCGAGTGATAAACTAGACTTTTTATTTTATTTTACCAGGTAGCTACATAGCTCTTTTTCAGAAGCCACCTGGCCACAAATGATAGCCCAATGAAGTCGCTTATTAAGTGGAAATTGAACGCAGGCAAGTACTCTAAAGGCATATTTCTAAATGTGGAGGGAAAAACTAGAGGACCCGGAGAAAAATACACGCGACCATGGGGAGAGAGAGACACCACAAACTCCAAATCTACAGGGCATCCGGGTGGGTATCGAACCCACGACCTCCTGTATACCAGGCGAGGTAGTGAACATCTCCTAGCCACCGTGATGATGATGAGAGAGAGAGACACCACAAATTCTAAATCTACAGGGCATGCGGGTGGGGACCGAACCCACGACCTCCTGTATACCAGGCGAGGTAGTGAACATCTCCTAGCCACTGTGGCGCCTCGTGATGTTGACCGCTGGTGTGGTGCAGCAACCCCCACACCGACCACTGCAGAGCAGAGGGAGAGGTGGAGGGGTGGGGGGGCTTCATCCAGTAGTGGATCCATAATGGAAATGGAGACTGTGAATAACACTGGTCAACACACTTTTTCTGGCATAAGGTATTCCAACGGTTGTAAGGTAATTTTGGGGTGCTGATTCCAAATCTGCCATCAGTTTTTGTCTATCACATCAGGTTTTTGAGATATCAAATATTGCATTTTCAATAAAAACTGCAGAAGAAAAATATTAAATAAATGTGGATATCTACATAAAATTATATTATAAACACACTATCCTAAAAATGCAGCACCATATTTTAACACTAAAGCAGTCACTGACTCGTAACAACTTGCAATCATAAGTGACAGAGTTAATTTCGGGTAAAATCAATGAAAATGGGGTATGCCGATAGCATAAAATTAGATGTGATATCAGATTTGGAATCAGCACCCTGAAATTAGTCTAAAACATCTGCAAAAGTCCAGGCCAGAAACATTTTTATTTTTGTGTTGACCAGTGTAATTATTCGTGAGACCGAATGCTGCGGAGAGACCAGGCAAGAATTGCCTGCTGATCTCTCTCTCTGCGAGCCTCCTTGTCTTTTCTCAAAGACGTCGGTGTTTATGGCTTTCCATCCACTTAGCTGTCTTGCTCAAGCGCTTTGCATTTACCGGGCATCTGTGAAAAAGAGTTGTGTTGTTAATTGGATTCCTCCAGTATAAATAAATATTCAGACTCTCTGATTTTTAGTTCTCCTCCGAGTTGCAACCAGTTGTTCAAACTGCTCAGGGTGTCACGTAATTCGCCGTCTTCCCCGACTTCTTGTGGTGCATTTAATTGTCCCAAACAGAGCCATAGTTAAGATTCAGACTCTTGTTTTCGCATTCAAATGTCCAATACATCTAACCCTGACTTTTTCGAAGTAATCTTTTAGATATAATTGCACCCGCTGTCCGTAATATAGGTATGCTGCTTCTCATCTTGTCTGTCTCTGCTGATCTATTGTGAAAATAATGCGCGCGCCTCCCCCTCTTCCTCCTTCTCCTCCTCACTCCTCCCCATCACTCTCCTCTCCTTCCTCCTCCTCATCCTCACTCCTCCCTCTCCTCCTCCTTCTCCTCACTCCTCCCCATCACTCTCCTCCCCTTCCTCCCCCTCTTCCTCCTCCTCATCCTCACTCCTCCCTATCCTCTTCCTCCTCACTCACTCCTCCCTCCCTCCCACCTGCGCCACTCCCCTGCCCCCTCGTGAAGGCTCCTCCAAGCTTCTCGATCACCCGCTCGACCGCGACGTCTCCTCATCCTCGCTGGCCGCCGTGTCTGGCGTGGCGCGGCTCACCCACCCGGCCGGGGCAGCAGCTGCTGCGGCTGCTGCTGCTGCCGCCGAGCGCGAGCGCGAGATCTCGAGCACCAGCGGCGCAAGCAGCTCTCGCGAGAGCCCCCGCGAGTCGCGCGCCAAGAAGCCCCGCAAGGCGCGCACGGCGTTCAGCGACCACCAGCTGACGCAGCTGGAGCGCTCCTTCGAGCGCCAGAAGTACCTGAGCGTGCAGGACCGCATGGAGCTCGCCAGCTCGCTGAGCCTCAGCGACACGCAGGTGAAGACCTGGTACCAGAATCGCAGGTGAGTGACGCGCCGTCGCTGCGGGTGCAGTGCGCGCGTGTGTGTGCACGTGTGTGTGCACGTGTGTGTGCGCGTGTGTGTGCACGTGTGTGAGTACGTGAGTACGTGTGTGTGCACGTGTGTGTGCGCGTGTGTGTACACGTGTGTGTGCACGTGTGTGTGCGCGTGTGTGTGCACGTGTGTGAGTACGTGAGTACGTGTGTGTGCGTGTGTGTGCGCGTGTGTGCACGTGTGTGTGCACGTGTGTGTGCGTGTGTGTGTGCGCGTGTGTGTGCGCGTGTGTGTGCACGTGAGTACGTGTGTGTGCACGTGTGTGTGCACGTGTGCGGTAGTGCACTGCGCTACGAACCCGGCGACCACGAGTTCTATTTCCCGATCAACACCAGTAACGGCGATCTGAATCGGTACAGTCTCCCCTAGGTCGACTCAGCCTCAAATGAGTACCTGGTGTGGTATGTAAACATCGCCACTCGGGAGACAAAGGCGGCCGGGTGTGGTGCTGGCCACCCATCGCCTCGTTTGCCGTGCCGGCCTTCATAGGTGCTCGCTAACAGCACTTGACCCAACAGTCTGTTCAGGCTATACGGGCGACCTTTGACTTTATCTGTGTGCTCCTCTATGGAGGAGGCTCGTGAAGGACGCTACTGGGCAGTTGGAGGCATTCGCCCTCCCAACAACAACGGAGGGCAAAGGAGCGACGCTCACAACAACGAGCGGAGCGCCGGGCGCTAAAACCAGTCAACCCATGGCACCTGCTGGGTCAGTCCCGTGACCTATCAGGTAGCCTTCCACACGCGGCCACGGAGTGCACCTGGCCCGCCATGGTGACGTCACCGCCACTTCAGAATTTTTATACTGGAGGAATCCGATGAGCTAATAAGCTCTTTAAACAGATATATACAGTCGAAGCGGGTCGGGACGTTTCAACAATAAACAATACAAAACCACGATCGGAGTATCGTAAAGGTAAACGCATCGCTTAAAAATATACAAATACAACTAAATAAAATGTTTTATCTCATCAGGTAAAGCCCACCGAGGCATTAATTTGTTTTTTCGAAGCAACCTGGCCACAAATTGGCTTGTCACGTGGAAATGTGTCGCAGCGAAACAATCTAAAGAACGTCTCGTGGCGAATGGCGACTGTTGTTGCTACTGCCGCTGCTGGGCACAGGTGGGGCCTGTTCAGCGCGAGTGGGGGTTGCACGCGTGTACATGTTTACCCCCGTGTCACTCCACTGCTGGATGAAGGCCTCTTGTCTCCTCGTGCTGGCGCGGCGGCGTTGTGGAATCGGATTTATTCACCACGCTGCTAAATGTGGGTTGGTTAACGCGGGGGGAGCAGAGAGCTGCGGGAAGTATCGTACAGCACAACTGTGGATTTCACTGGTCAACACACTTTTTCTGGCATAGGGTATTCCAACGGTTTTAAGGTAATTTTGGGGTGCTGATTCCAAATCTGGCATCAGTTTTTGTCTATCGCATCAGGTTTTGGAGATATCAAATATTGCATTTTCAATCAAAACTGCAGAAGAAAAATATCAAATAAATGTGGATATATATTCATATTCTTAGGTTTTTTCGGTAAAGTCACGTAGGTAAAAAACTTAAAATTCATAAAAGTAAACTAAAAATTAAATAAAATCACGACGTTTCGGAGGCAACACAAGCTTCCGTCTTCAGGTGGAACAGTCACAGCACGATAGCTGTATCAAGTGAGAGAAATTCCAAGAAAACCGTATTTGTATATATACTGGCTGAGGGTGGGAGGAGCCAAGGTACGGCGCGAAAGAAGTTCTCGGTTCAACACCAACCACTTTTCACAGCTGTCTTCTAGCATTGAACTCGCGATGAAATTCGTCTGCCTGCGTTGGACTCAAGACCTACGACAAACGAATACATCTCCACACACGAAACACGAGCATCCATCGTGTGTGTGTGACAGTGGGCCGTGCCATTGCAACTGTAGTAGGTAGGCGGTGGGGGGTATTGAAGGGAGTCTCTGTGAATTCATTGGGGATAATCCCCAAATCAGTTGTGAATAAATGGGGGCGGGGAGGGGTCTATGGGTTCGACCTCATGCATATTCAGAACCCTGCCCTCTCATTGGACGAACGAGCGTCTACGCCACCTTTCCACGTGTTCACACCTACAGCAAGCTTGAGCTTGGGATGGGTGACCAACAGGGATTGCCAGTCGTTGTAGGCTGTGGGGCTGCGATGTGGTCAGATGAACCCAGCGCTGAGTGTCATCCCCTCTGATGCATGGCTGGAGGTTTCTCCGGGGTTTGCTGTTTGCTCCCTCACGTGAGGCCAAACACTCACTGATGAATTTGGCCAAATATTGCAATTCAGAACCCGAGTTGAAAAACCCTGGCTGGGCCTTTTCTTGAGTGAATAATTAGCATAATCCTTGCACAGTTTTATAGCGCTTAGTGTCTCTGCGTTGTTATTGCCTCTGAACGCTTTTTTTTAAACATGTATTTTTATTGACGCAATATGCGGGCCAGATATATCACGTTGTGACGCACACACACCGTTAACCATAAGCCGAACCGGTTATGAAAATCAGGGGATATAAAGATGGGGAACTGGCTCGTGTTTCTGAACTTTCTAAGCGGAGACGGCGCACGTTCGCAGCCGCTGTTTCACTCTCATCAGCTCCGAGCGTTCCGAGTCCGCGGTGACCCAATGTTCTCCCCTCAATCCTTGCGCACTTCTCATCAGTCGAGTGAAGCCGCTGAACACCGAGCCATCGAGTTCACCCCTATCTGAGCTCCCTGTACCTGAGCTGCCCGTGTCATCTGCAGCCCTGACGCACACACACACACACTCCACTGCCCCTCACATGTGTTGTGTGGTAAGAAGGACGCTGAAGCCAGTCGTGTAGGGGCTGACGCCAACTCTTTATTTAAGGGCTTGCGCCTAACTCGGGGGAAGGGGTTAACAGAGTTCTTAACTAATCTCCCCAGGGGAAGGGGTTAACACAGAGTTCTTAACTAATCTCCCCAGGGGAAGGGGTTAACACAGAGTTAGTAACTAATCTCCCCAGGGGAAGGGGTTAACACAGAGTTAGTAACTAATCTCCCCAGGGGAAGGGGTTAACACAGAGTTAGTAACTAATCTCCCCAGGGGAAGGGGTTAACACAGAGTTAGTAACTAATCTCCCCAGGGGAAGGGGTTAACACAGAGTTAGTAACTAATCTCCCCAGGGGAAGGGTACTGGGAGTTCCCTACACCCCACCAGGCTATCGGGCTCTTCCCACAGCACTGGCCGAGGGTTCAGCCAACTCGGCCAGCCGGGTAAAGCAGCCCCCCCTTTAGCCTGGCTCTCTACCCTCTATCCCGGAGCCCCCTACTCCCCTACCACTCACTCTCCTCTGGCTCACGGCGAAGACCCCGTCTACGTCACGGGTCTCCCCTCAAATACCCCGGGGGGGGGGGGGGGGCATGACGTCACTTTTCCTTGACGGCATTCCCCCAGAGGCGAGTGTGACCTGACGTCAGCACTCCATTCCTCAACACATGTAAACGCAGACAAATATCCCCCATGTAGCCGACAAATGCAGTTGACGCAAGTGCTGTTAGCGGGCACCTACGAAGGCTCGCACGGCGTACGAGGGGCGTTGGGTGGCCAGTATCACGCATCAGGTACTCATTTCAGGCTGAGTCGACCTAGGTGAGGTCGACGATGGGTTCAGATATTCGTCACCGATGTTTGCCGTGAGCGGGAATCGAACTTGGGTGGCAGGGTTCGTAGCGCAGTGTGCTTACCACTGCACTACCGCTCCCCACTATGCATTCACATTGTCTCACACGCACTCACACTTTGACATTTGCTAAGCTGTGCGCGTGCGTGTCTGGGTGCACTGTGCTTAGAGCGATACAATCGAAAGGTTTATGAGTTATAATACCATATCGGGGGATACTCAATCATTATCACCAGCATCGCTTCAGGGTCAACACATCGATGATCACTTTTGTGAGTAAACAGTGGACGTCATATAGACAGACTGTTCCCTACCACCGGACTATGGCATTGTAACAGCCGGATCAATGTTTCCCATATTAGTTCGTGTGCAATGTGTTCACGTGACCACTGCAAAGCCACTCGAACCTACTGTATCCGCATTCACTGTGACCCTGAATCGCAGCACTCTATTGAATCACGTAGAGATCTGTGAAAGTCACCAATCCCAATGGTCTGGGCAAGGCGGACAGGAGGTCTGTGCAGCAGTTTTGAATGTTATCCCTTTCATTCGCGAGTTGGGTTGTTTTCCAGAACTGGCCAAACATCCCAATGCAGAGCCCCCCCCCCATCCCCTCTGAAAAATTGCCTTGGGACTCAGCGGAGCTTTCGTAAATCAACATCAGAGTACTGCTTGTCTTTTTACTCCGAGAAGACAACATGAACGAAAAACCAAATGTTCCATGTTTATATTCTTGGTGCTTTCGATAAAGTAACGTAGAAGGGAAATAATAAAATAATATAAATATAATATTTATATTATTAATATTATATTTATATTATTTTATTACCGAAAGAACCAAGAATATGAATCCCTGCAGTCACGAAAACTTTAAATCGAAAATGTTCCATGTTTATTTGTGCAGCCACGGGGCTGAGAACATCAACTCGCTACACTCAAGGTTAACATCTGGGTACAAGCCAGAATTTATCATATTTTCATAATCTCATTTAGATTGGAGGAGGAGAAGGAATCTGATGAGCTCGGAAGCTCGTTTGCACAAATGTCCAGTAGGGGCGGGTCAGCAAGTTACATCAACAAAGAATACAAAATAAACTATATAAGAAGAGCAAGATAGAGAAAAAGTGAGGTCACTGAAGATAAATGAATATAAAGTCTAGAAGTACAAGTTGCACAAGCACATACATTCCTGCCGATTTGTCAACACAGAATGCATGCTTGGGGCAAGGCAGCAAAACAACAACAGTCCCAGACCACACCAAGACAACAACACAGTTTGTCAATTATATTGCACATTAAAATGTAACTATCGATACAAGGTGAAGGATCAAAGTTACAAATCACATTGGCAAATGGTGCCTTTTATCTGGCACTAATCGACTGCTTCATAATATTATTGCAGGAAGATGTATGATGTTAAGGGAGGATACAAGGCTGTTCCAAAACGTTGGTGCTGCCACAGCAAGGACATTTGCAGTTTTGGCCCAATGACCTTCATGAATGATCTTGGCTACCCAGACTCTTTGGCTCTTTCGGTAAAGTCACGTAGGTGAAAATAAAATAAACATAACTAAATCAGGACGTTTCCGAGGCAACACAAGCCTCTGTCATCAAGCAGGAACCACCTGGTTCCACCAGCCCACAGGGGATTATTGTGTCCGTCTGTCCGTCCGTCGTGCATCCAAAAATGGGAGGGATGGGGCTGGGTGGAGAGGGGCTGGGTGGGGAGGGTGGGGAGGGGCTGGGTGGGGAAGGGAGGGTGGGGAGGGGCTGGGTGGGGATGGTGAGGCTGGGTGGGGAGTGGGAGGGCTAGGGCTGGGTGGGGAGGGGAGGGGCTGGTCACCCGGTGGTGCCCTTATAAAACTCAACGTTTAACCTCCTCACGCCGTCTTGTGCCCGCCCTCACAGTCGGCCATATTTGCGGAATACACCACGCTGCCGTTGACCCTGGCCATTGACTGAGCAACCCAACGTTCCTACCAGCTCCCTCTGCAGGAATGTGTAATTGTTGGAAATCAAAGGCGAGGAGTGGTGATGGTGTGTGCCAGTGCTGGGCTCAAACCTGATTGGTTCTCCAACATATAAAGTTGGGGTTTCCACACCGTAACGATCAGTTGAAAGCACCATTCGCGCAGTTGTGGGGAATATAAGTAACAAATATATACGCATACGATACGTCTCCATCACATATCTGTTTCTCCACGTAACAAATAAGAATATTTCGTACACAATCATTATTGGTTGAGTGCAAATGAATCATAACCGGTTGCAAGCAGTTGCACAACCAGTTGATTGCAGTCGAGACAGAATTGACTACTCAAGCGATCGATCGGCTCGGTGATTTTCGGGAACGTATTTCATCCGCGTGCAACATTTTTGAACGATGACAGCTCGTCGCAATCCCGAGTGCGCGGTTCCAATCACCTTGCTGCGCAACCGACCATCGCTGTTTCAAATGTCCACCTTCCTTCTTTCCTTCCCTTGCCGGCTGCCCCTCAGGACCAAGTGGAAACGTCAGACGGCCGTGGGCTTGGAGTTCCTGGCCGAGGCCGGGACGTACGGCGCCCTTCAGCGCCTCTTCCCCAACAACCCCGGCGCCGCCACGAACCTCTCGGCGGCCGCGGCCGCGGCGGCCGCCATCGCGGGCGGCCACGCCTTCCAGCTCTACCCACCGCACCTCTCCGCCATGGACCCAGCCGCGGCCGCCGCGGCCATGTACCTGTACCGGGCCGGGCCATCGCACGCCCAGCAGCAGCACGTGTCGCACGCGCACGCCCAGGCGCAGCACTCGGCGCATGTGCACCTGGGACACCGGCCCATGTTCGGCTCGCCCCGTGTCCTCATCCATGGCGCGGGCCTGGGCCACCTGCCCGGGCACCCTCACTAGCGGGACGGTACAGGCCCGCTCAGTGCCACTGTACGGCGATGGCTGTTTAAAACACAGAACACGGTAACACTGCGACACGGTGCGGTCGACGGTGCACCGCGTGGATTCGCGTGGAGCGCCGTGCGTTACTGCGGAGGAATTGGCGAATGGGAGGACTGGGAGGAGGGCGATGGAGCACGGAGGCAGACACGAGAAGGGCACGGCTACGGTGCAATGAGAATAGCACGGACGACATTGGTTGGAGAGGCGGTACAATCGTAGGTGCAGAAGAGGAAGTTCTCGAGCCAGGACTTGAATCGTGGAGGGTGTAGTTCGAATTACGATCAAAAGGGGACTTCCAGAGAAAGGGGGCAGCAGAAGCGAAGGAGCAACCATCATCCACTGAGCAGATGTTGACTGGTAGGGTCTAGAGACGAGGCCTTAATTGCTGGACGACAGTGGCACTGGAAGGACAGAGCGAAATGAGAGAGGGGAAGAGATGAAGGCAGGGGGCAAGCCCATGCATGAAAAGGCGACTAATTCTCATTGTCGAGTGCCAACACCCAGGAGATGTGTTCGGCAGCAACGTGGGACTTCGTGACTGGGACACGTCACCCGTGAATGTCATGGAGAGGGAATGGGCTTGGTATTTATGGTTATAAGGCGCAAAATGGGCAAGGAGTGTGAGAACTCAAGGTTGCAAGGAGGAGGAGGACAGATCGGTGAGGCAGAGGTGCGTCGATAGTAGTAGCTGGTACATTGGCCCTAAAAGTTACAACGCGGCTGGGCGGCACTGCGGTAACAGCACTCGGCTCACAACCTGAAGATCACGAGTGTAAATATCAGCCGAGTGTCGACTCAACCCGTCATCATCCCTCTGTGGTCGATAAAAACGTACTATGCTGCAGGAAGTCAACAGTGATCGTCCTATGGAGAGAAATCAGAATTTTCTGGAGGAGCTAGTGGTGGGAATATACGTGATAGTTACTGATGATGATGTGTATACTGGCCTAAGGGGCTATTGTTAACTTGTCAGCTGAGCCGCGCTCCACCTGGCGTGGTGTCAACGAGGTCTCATTTCGCTCAAGGAAGGCTTGGCCCGTTTGAAAAATGAACTATAGCGCCAGCTCTACTCTATATTCATACACATAAGCATGGCACTGCGTTCTGCGAGACTAAAATTGGAATTGGCCAAGCATCTCAATGCAAGCTCTTCCTGATAAAAGTCTTGAGATTTGGTGAGACTTCCCTGGACATTGGGCGACATTAATTTCTCAAGTGTATTGAAGCTGTAAATTGGACGTGTAACCCTTGAAAAAATATATATGTTTAAAAGATTTATAGTGTAACCTAGTTGATCTAGAAAAATATAGAGTTTGGTGTGTGTGTGGTCCTGTGTGTGATGGTAATGACGTAGCCTCTAGCATAACCAACCCTACGTTGTCTGTTTGGGCTCTGTGTCGATGTGTAGCCTATTTATGTGACTCACGCGTTTCAAATCTAGCTAGCGAGTCTAGCCTAGTCCAGGCCATTACCCCCACAGCTCATTAGCCCAGATGTAATGTAGCTGAATATATCATAGCTGATTTAAAGGAAGACCCAACCCAAATGTCTATTGTATTATTCTATAGTAACCATGTCTACTCGTGGTAATAAGGTGGTTGAAATCTGCTTTGTAAATAACCCCCCCAAAAAATCATCAAATCCGGACACATCTCCGTGTGCCATGAGTATGGGTTTCAAATTCCCCTCCTTGAGCTGGGCTCGGCAGACGAACGTGGAGCATGCAGCGAGCATCCTGACGTAGGCGACGAGGGGCTCGATTGCGGCTGTGACGTCACTAGAGGGCGTTAGACACGTGAAAGGCACGTGGCTGTGAATTTTTTTGTTTTGTATTCGCATTAAGAACGTTAAACCGCGAGGCAGCCAAGGCTGCAAAGCCTAGATGTGCAGGCCTGTCTGTAAAACAACAGCTGGCAGTTTAATGGGTCGCGTCTTCCTTTAAGTTGGCAATTGTATTGCAAAGGGAATGTACAGCATTGACGAAGGACACACAAATGTGTACATAGATTCATAATGGTAACCAAGATACGTTCATCAAAGATGGCGCCGTAACATGGTGCCGATCAGTACGGGTACGTATGTATGTATGTTGAACTTCTTTCGCGCCGTACGTAGCCAACCGTGCTACATATATGCTTGGGTACATATATGCTTAGGGTCTACACACCAAACCGTCAACTTATGTTTGAACAGTTTAATTTAAAATGAGTGTATTTCGTAAGCAGGGGGTAGTGTTTGTAGATTGTTTCACATTATGCGGGACTCGAGATGTGATGGTCGTTATTAAATGTCTTAAGTTATTTGGGATTTGCTGTAGATTTCGATTTGAATTTGCATAAAGCAACGAGCAGGCTCATACAAGCCGCAACGTCGGTAACGTTTGGTGCAGGTCACGATGGTGTTTATTCGGTCAACAAGTTAACATCAGGACACAGGCTTACAAGAGGTTGTGCTCCACCCGCTCCAACAGAAACAACGTACGGACAACCGCGGACTTCTTGGCCACTCTTGGCCTCTGCAGCACGCGCTGCCCTGCAACTGAAGGCACCGCTCTGTATCGGTACGGGGCCATCCCCTTGGAACTTTGCTGGATGGTGACTGATGCGGGACATTTGTGACCTCAACTGCAGCACCAATACAAGCTCAGAAACCCCACTCCACGTCAGTCAGAGATAACCACACACGCGCACACAAAATGTTGCGTAAAGCCCTGGTGATCACTCCGAATGGTGACGCAGCAGTGACTGAGCGGATTAGCACCGCCACTCTCGCCTGGTGCAACTCGAACTGTGAATTCCCGACGTGATCTAACTACGAACCATGAAACCAATGGGTCTTTTGGAAGCTTGGCACTTGGGTTCAAGTCCCCTCAATCCACCCCACAGAACATTTGATTTGACTCAGAAATGAGCAGGTGCGTGATTCGACTCTGGACCGGACTTACGTGTGGTGCATAGACTCTTCACAATCAATTCACTCCCGTCCATACCACAGGTCAATGCGTAGACTCCACACGCACTGAGAAAGAGAGTGGGCAGAGAAGCCAAAACATTGATGGCGGTGGTGAGCAGGAGACCACGAAGAGACTGAATGTCAACTCACAGGTATTAATGTATAATTGATGCATTCAATGCAGTCGGTTATTATACTCACGATACGCACACCAGATCGTGGGTGTAAGAATTGACTATTTTCGATTCGGTGAAAACTATATAGGGAAAAGAATCCTTCAGGCTAACGGTTGGAACGAATGAGTGGGCGAACGAGCGGGAATAGAGACGATACAGACAAGACGGTACAAACGATGAAACAAGACGACACAAACGCAACAGTACATACGAGACAGTCTTAAACGAGACGGGCAATGCATTTGAAATGCAGTCCACACGAGTAGTCCTGGTAAGGCAGCTGGATTGTTTCCGTTCAACACCAACAACATGAACACTCGCAGGGCAGGGCAGGCACAGCGAGGATTCGTGCAGGGCACGGACACTATGGGTGACTTTAGCCTTTTCTTCCCATAGCCCCGAGCCCTTGTCCCTCACCTATAAACTCTTTTTTTTATTTTACCAGGTAAGGCCCACTGAGCTATATTGCTATTTTTTCAGAAGCGACTTGGCCACAAATGATAGCTCAATGAAGTGGCCGATCACCTGTAAATGTATAGCCGCCAAAACACTCTAAACGCGTGATGTTGATTCTAAATTTGGAGCGAAAAACCGGAGGACCCGCAGAAAAATCCACGGGGAGAACACGCAAACTCCAAATATACAGCAGCAGGCGTCAGGGTCGGGATCGAACCCACGACCTCCTGTATACTAGGCAAGGTAGTTGACATCTCCGAGCCACCGTGATGATGATGAGAGAGAGAGAGACACGCAAACTCCAAATATACAGCAGCAGGCGTCAGGGTCGGGATCGAACCCACGACCTCCTGTAGACCAGGCGAGGTAGTTAACATATCCTAGCCACCGTGATGATGATGATGAGAGAGAGAGGCACGCAAACTCCAAATATACAACAGGTGGTCAGGGTCGGGATCGAACCCACGAGCTGCTGCATCCTGTACGAGGTAGTGGACCTATCGTCACCAGTTCACTGCTCTTTCCCGCCATTCTGTATCTTTTGGGGATTCTCCCCCAATCTCCTTGTTCGCACCTTTCTTTCCCAGCGCCTTCATTTAATTATTTATCTTGGCGTGGTCCCTTGCATGACCCCGACATTCAACCCTGGCCGTGTCCCCCACACGACATCCAAACACATAACGAGAACATAATTATCGATTCGATCATTGAAACGTGGCATCGAATCGCAAGGGGGTGGATTGGAGAGGGGCGGGTGGGGTGGATGTGCATCGATTCTCGCTTAAGTCATAGTCGCATTTCAGTCGCTATGAAGACCAAACCGTGAAGAGACAACTCCAGCTGAACGATGGGCAGTGCGAGAGATTGACTCATGGTTGTGTGAGCCCCGGTACACCAGGTATCTCGATGTTAAAAACCTCCTGATTCTCATGCCCGTGATACGCGTGAGAGTTGTTTACTGCCGCCGTGTCTGAATGTGTCAAACTAACGACTGGTGTTTATCAGTTTTTTATGTTGGGGCTGTGGTCATGTTCAAAGATGTACTCGGCCCATGAGTCCGTTAATGCCATTAAAACGAGTACCTTTTTGCGGGAAGCCCAACCGTTGGTTGTCCTCTGAATGAAACAGCCCCCGCCACGAGAATGTGAAATGTGGATCTCCCACCTTCCTCCTCCAATGGTTGTATGGTGGCACTCATCCCCTTTTGCGCCTCAAAGCAGCGGTGGAAATTCTACATTCCTACGGCAAGAGCCAGAATGTCCTCGGAATTTCCACAAAGCGATACACTACTGACCACCGCCTCTCTTTTGAATCCTGGATGAATGAATCAATGGCATATGCGTGGTCCCCTGGGTTTGTTAGAGAGCTCGTGATTTCAGTTCCTGCTCTCTCTCTGTATTGCTGACGACGTGGCTCTGTATTGCTGATGATGAGTCTCTGCGTCACGAACTCTTCATCGCAGCCGCACGTGGGGGCCCCATGAGTGAGACGCAAGAGGCGCTCACGCACTCGTCCAATAAACTGCAGCGTGTACAACTCATCATTGGTGGTCGCCTCTCTTTCTTTATCTGATCTTGTCCACGTGTAACTCCACGACGGTGCGGGACCTCAACGATTCTCAAGGGAAGGGACACGGCAGCGGCTTACTGCTGATGATGCTGCTATGTCAACGCTGCTGCATTTGTTGTTCCTGAATTTTATACAGTAACTAGCTGTACTACCCGGCTTCGCCCGGGACTTGGATCCACCACGCCCGGCTGCCTTTGTCTCCTCAGTGGCGATGTTAATACGCCACACCAGTTACTCGTTTTGAGGCTGAGTCCCTCCCTCACCACTCTCCCTCCCTCACCACTCTCCCTCCCTCACCACTCTCCCTCCCTCACCACTCTCCCTCCTTCACCACTCTCCCTCCCTCAGCACTCTCCCTCCCTCACCACTCTCCCTCCCTCACCACTCTCCCTCCCTCAGCACTCTCCCTCCCTCAGCACTCTCCCTCCCTCACTACTCTCCCTCCCTCACCACTCTCCCTCCCTCACCACTCTCCCTCCCTCACCACTCTCCCTCCCTCACCACTCTCCCTCCCTCACCACTCTCCCTCCCTCAGCACTCTCCCTCCCTCAGCACTCTCCCTCCCTCAGCACTCTCCCTCCCTCACCACTCTCCCTCCCTCACCACTCTCCCTCCCTCACCACTCTCCCTCCCTCACCACTCTCCCTCAGCACTCTCCCTCCCTCAGCACTCTCCCTCCCTCACCACTCTCCCTCCCTCACCACTCTCCCTCCCTCACCACTCTCCCTCCCTCACCACTCTCCCTCCCTCACCACTCTCCCTCCCTCAGCACTCTCCCTCCCTCAGCACTCTCCCTCCCTCACCACTCTCCCTCCCTCACCACTCTCCCTCCCTCACCACTCTCCCTCCCTCACCACTCTCCCTCCCTCACCACTCTCTAGAGGACTTGAAACTTTGATGAATTTACCTCAGAGTCGCGTGGTGGGTGTCGAGGCCTAGCACCGTGCAGAGCCTCCGGCCTCGCCTAAATTGCTCACTCGGCTGAGGCTGGGTACGGGTGCCGCCCCCCCCCCCCCCCCGCGTTACAATAATACTGTCTAATCGCTATAATTTTATAATCTACCGACCCTATAATAGTAATTGCACACATTGTGGTGGGGGGGGGGGGGAGTGAAGAGGACGTGAAACTTTGATGAATTTACCTCAGAGTCGCGTGTTAATGCGTGCGCCTATTTTTAACGGGAATTAAAAATGGCGTCCACCCCGCGGCGAAGGCGTCGCTACCCATTGCCAGGGGCAACCGCCGTCCAATGAAACTGCGTATGGTCCGGCGACACACAGACAGACAGACAGATTCGAGATTTTATATATATAGAAGTCCTCATTTAATGCGGTACATGCGTTCCTGAAAAGGGCCGCGTTAAGCGAAACACGCATTAAGCTAACACTGTTTCCCCATGAATAATGTATAATACGTTATAATTATTAAGTTTGACGAGATACGATGTACGCACACACACAGCTGGAGGAACAGATGAGAGAGGGATACCATTCCGCGTACTGTGTGATACCAGCTCAAGAATGTAGTTTGTCGTCGACTGTTCCAAAACCGCGTTATAACGGGCACCGTCCACGTTATAACGGGCACATTCCGCCACTTACCGTACTGAAAAAAAACTACGTAAAATGATGTTGCTGATGCCGCTGTTGAGGTTACTGCTGCTGATCCCGCTAATGCTGCAAATGTTGCCGCTTCATATGCAATTTCTGCAGCTCATAATTGTCTTGCAGATAATGTAGAAGCCGACGCTGTTGACAATGTAGGAGTAGATGTTTCTGCAGTCACTATTACCGCAGTTGTTGATGCAATTATTGCTACTGCTGCACAGCCCCAGGCAATCCGAACTCGTACTGATCTTCAGAGACTTAGTGCGCGCGTAAAGTGCATGTATAAAGTGAACAGTAGGGAATGATATCGCGGGAAGTATGTTTGGCACGCCACATCCATCTCGCCTTGTATTGTCCTCATGAAACTGCGTATATATGTATATATGTTTTACGAACGTGTTCGTGGGATTGTAGGAATAGAGGGTACAATAATTTAGGATTACTATAGATAAGCATACTTTGCACTGATTATCCCTATTCCACACCAGCCTAGCAGCATTCCGGAATTTTTCGATTTAGAGCTTTCGTGACTGCAGGGATTCATCTTCTTGGTTCTTTCGGTAAAGTCACGTAGAAGGGAAATAATGAAAGTAAAACATAATAAAATATAATTCTCTTGTATTTTATTGTTTTATTTTTATTATTTTAGTATTTGCCTTCTACGTGACTTTACCGAAACAACCAAGAAGGAGCATTCCAGAAAATATCTAGTGAGAATTCCACCCATGGGCGTGTGAGATTTCAACTAAAACAATTTTTTAAAAACGAAAACTATTTTGTATAAACTTAACTTTTTATTTTACCAGGCGAAGGCCCACTAACCTATGTAGCTCTTTTTCAGAAGATACCTGGCCACAAAAGATGTCTCAACGAAGTAGCCCTTCATGTGAACATTTATAGCAACCAAAAACTCTAAACACATGCTGATTCTAAATGCGGATGGAAAAATAGCAGGACCCGGAGAAAAATCCACGCGACCATGGGGAGAATATGCAAACTCCTAATATACAGGCATCATGGTAGGGATCGAATCTACGGCCTCCTGTATACCAGGTGAGGTAGTTAACATCTTGCCACCGCGGCACCGAAATACGCTTGTTCTCCACGTGCCTTTGCATGAACCTGCAAGCCCTTCGCTGGCACGACGTCACAAGAGATGATGTCACAAGACACTACGTCACAAGGCACGATGGCTCCCGCTGCAGATAGCCCACTCCACGCCCCGATCCTCACCAGCTACTGCCACACCGCCTAAATCGCTTACTCCCTTATATCCCCAAATTCCTACCACCCGTCCCCGCCATCGGCCACCCTCTATACGCCACCCGTATTTACGAAACGTGACTCTAAACTCATCGCCATCCCCCCACGATCTGAACAACCCCTGCCCCCCCACTCCCCTTCCCTGCTCCCTCCACCCATCAGCTCCATTCACCTAAGCCTCTGGAATTCCCGCTCAGTCTGTAACAAGCCCGCATCCACCCTAGACGCCTTAAAAAAAACCCTTCAAGCCCTAGCAATTACAGAAGCCTGCATATCCACATTGAACACTGCCACTCCAGCTGCGCTTTCCACATCCTGCACCAACTTAATCCATTCGCCATGACCCTCTGGCAAGCTCGGTGGTGGCATTGGGTTGCTCTTCTCCTCCACCTGTAACCCCTCGCCTCCATCTGCTGCCTTTCCATCCTTTCCCTCTTTCGAATTTCAACTATCTTTCTCTTCACGCTTTTCTTTCCAATCATTTACCCCCCCCCCCCCCCCCCCCTGGTCAGCCCTCCTCGTTCTTCGACGACTTGGGTTGCCTTCTTTCCACAATCCTTCCTATCTCATCTCCGCTGATTCTTCTGGGAGACTTGAACCTCAACCTTACTTCCCCATCTACGTCCTCGACTTTATTGTCTCCCACGAGCTCCTTCAACCTACACCTTGTCTCCTCTCCTCCGCTTGACCTTATCTTCATTTCTGCTTGCTCAGCTTCCCATGCCCTAGTATATCTCGTCCTCCATCCGATCACCAATTACTAACCATGACACTCTCAATTCCATCCCCCTCACTCTCGAGCCCTTCCTTCACCTCCCCTCGCCTCCGCCGAAATCTACGCTCCGTTGATGACTCTGCACTTCTTTCTCTGGTTTCCGCTTACCTTCCACCCCTATCTGATTTCGCCGACCTCCACCCAGACAAAGCATCATCCATCCTACATTCTGCACCATTCTATTCACTCGACGTTCTTGCCCCTCTGCTTGCCCTTCACCCCTACGAATCATCCTCCTAGGCCTTGGCTGACACCTGGGCTAAAGATTCACCGTTGCCTTGTAGGCAAAGCCGAGCGAACCTGGAAGACCCTACCCACGCCTGATTCCCACTCTACTTACGTTTCCTTTCCGATTTTACTTCTACACTGGAGGCCACTTGCCAATCCTATTTTATATCTCTAATTTCTTCCCTTTCCGTGCACCGTGCTCTGCTTTTTTCTACCTTAAATACTCTGCTACATCTTTCTCCACTCTTACCTGCCATTTCTTCTTCTGCCCCCTCCCCTGTAGTCCTCTACAACTATTTGTTGGAGAAGATTACTCAAGTATAGTAGTAGGTTTTTACCCTTTTAAACTGGTACAAAACTGACACCTTTATTCAAGGCATCATGTTTGCAATAACCACAACACAAGTAGTCAAAAAAGCAAACAAAAAGAAGCAACTCTTATAATGATAATAATATGCACTGTCCTTGAAGTTGATTGGTCCACACCCGAGACGGCTTTCTTTAGAGCCTAGTCCCCATTGGTGTTGGACCAGATGACACCAGAAGGCGTATAACTCAAACACAGTCATTATCAGAGTTGCTTCTTTTTGTTTGCTTTTTTGACTTGTGTTGTGGTTATTGCAAACATGATGCCTTGAATAAAGGTGTCAGTTTTGTACCAGTTTTAAAGGGTAAAAACCTACTACTATATTTTGCCACTGGTAAAAGAGATCTCATAGTGTAAGATTACTCAAATTAGTTCTATCCACCTCACTACCTCCCTTCCTTCCTGTCAGCACCATACCTACCTGTCCCTCTCCTCCTCCCCCTACTTCTTCATCTACTTTAAATACCATTTCCCCCGCTTCAATCTTGGAGCTGTCAAACATCGCCACCAAAACTCACCCCACCTTTTCCTCCCTTGATCGCCTACCGCCTTCCCTGCTTCCATCTGCCATCTCCACTATCCTCCCGTTCCTCCTGGTTCACTTAAACCATTCCCTCTCATCTGACATCTTCCCTCCAACTCCTTTAAAAAACGCTATTATCCTACCCCTTCTCAAAAGCCT